TAATTTATTATAGATATTTGTGTTTTATCCAATGTTATACTTTGTTTGTACTAATTCAAAACAATACAAGGCATATAACCTCATATATATGCTTATGAAGTTTACTGATATTAGATATAGCATACATACCCTCCAATGTTTGCTTTTGATCCCTCAAAATGGTCTGGGCAGCATTTGCTATTTTTCATCTTACAATCTGATGGACATCCCTTTAGATCAAAATATATAAATAGAGAAGCACACTCACCTAAATGGTACATGTAAATAGTCATCAATAGAAAAAGGTATATTTCAGTTTTGACTCGTAAATTAGCCATTAATTTACTTTAAATATTAGAAATATTGCTCTTTTATGCAAAAAATTTGAGTTGATAAAAATGGTTTTTGCCCACCCTAACAGCTGGACATAGAAAGCAGCACTCTACATCAAGACCTCTACCACCCAACTCAAAGTCATCATCATCTTCTTTCTGAAGTAGCACATAAAGAGCCTTTAAATCCAGTGTGACTAAAAATGAAAAAATAATGTTTATTTTCATACATACTATCATAATGTCATAATTACAACTTTTTGAAAAATATATCTATACCTTTGAATTCAACCTGCCAATGTTTCCCATCAACATGAAGACCATCTTTCTTCAAAGCTCTTTTTTGATGGTTGAGGTCTTGAAGAAGTTCCTTGAGATCATTTCTAGTATAAACAAGGAATTTATTTACTATTACTATTTGTATTATTAAGGTCCATAACTTTCTGTATAGATGTGCTGATCATAATTTATGAACAAATTTTCAAGGGCTGACTAATAGTGACTCAAAAACATCAGAAACACAAAACTTTTACCTGTCTTCTTCACAATTAGATATTGCTAATGGGTATATGGCTTTGGAACTCTGAACAGGAAGAAGTGGAGATTGTAGGGGTGATAAGGCAACCAAAACCTGCCTTCGACCTGAAATATTAGAAAAATATTATTAGAAGAAATAGGAATAATTGAATTAAACTCCTATACGCTGTATTATTAATCACCAATAGCAAAGTGCATTTAGAGCTTGGCAGATTTTTAAAAAACCTAACAAACATCATATTAACATTCAGTAGATGTACATTGAGTATTTTGCAATAGGGTTTTACCACCCTTGTGTTATTAGATACATCTTGAATAAGGCATACCATAAAAAGGACGTCCATCTAGTTTCAAACTGAATATAAGTTTGTCTTTTGAGGGGCATCCATGTAGTCTCATTTCTCTGGCACACCAAATAAGTACTGATCGAAGATCAACTTGGTAACCACTGACATTGGCAGGGATCTCCTTTAAACCAAATAAATCCTTTATGCGTTGGAATATCATCGAGCGATAAGCTTTTATCTGATTTTTGTTCAGAAGGATTGGTATGTCTAAAGAATTCTAGGCATAGAGGGAAAAGTAAAAAAAA